GGAGTATAAATTTTTAAGATTTGCAATAATCGATGAACTTTTGGAGTACTATATTGATATATCCTTTCTTTCTCAGACAAATGTTGAAATTCATTATCACAAAGGGCACTGTGAAAGATCATAATTTTCGTGTATGCGTACACACACAAAATTATACGATATCTTAAACTCCCTAACCGCGTTTAGCACATATGTGTCAATATCGTCATCGTTATTGCAATACTTACCGAATTTTTATAAAAACAGATGTTATCATATTTAATAAAAGATAATGTCTCTCATAAGGAGTTTTGATCTTCAATTTTTCCGTTAGAAATAGTAATGTTAGAGCAGCACGATCGGCACACCATGGTCCAAGAGTTTCTAATATATGCAAAAAATCTTGCATCATCTCAAAGGGCTTTTGTATGGGGTCAGGAATTTTTTGAATATCCTCATAAAATTCTTCAGTATAAATTTCCATTGGATCATACCGATGATCACGTAAAAATTCAATTGCATGTGACACACAACTTTTAAGCGTATTATACAAGTCTTTCTTTTCTCCCCTATCATACTCCACAACATACTCTCTTGGTTTTGGGCTATAACTACATATACAAATAATTGTCACATTATTAGTTTGTAAGGACATTGTCAGCAAATTATTAAACTTACCGTATTATTGAAAGAATATCATTAGCGGTTTCTACTTCACACTGGAAAGCAGCCTCTACTTTTTCTATCTCTAAGCCTAATCTTCCAGGTTCTTGTGTCAAATTAAACACTGGTACCGCTAATCCGATTATTCTAGGAACATTGTTGCACAATAGAAAAGTTTGCAGAACAAACTTTAAATTGCTATCTTCAATAGACTTATGGCACTCATCTACTATGACTAGATTTATGTGACATGGTAAAAGTTTGTTTTCTGATATTAATTGTGCATAGATTTTTGATGTTCCGACTAATACCTATAAATATGTATAAAAATAAATGTATAAGAAAATATTTGTAACAAATTTTCTTTTAACTACAGTTACACAGTAAATAATTTTTTCTTACGTGAGAACTTTCAAAACTTTTGTCAAATCCTTCAAGTACACCAGAATCACATGTTAATACTTTCAGATCTGTTAATTGCTTTATATAAGTTCCTATTATTGTACATTTGTCTTTGTCATTTAATATATATATCGCTCGTTTTCCACCATTACTTACTAATCTATGCAAGGAAAAAAATGGATTCAAATATATTTAACAAATATTGCAATTAATATTTAATTTGAGCATTTATAACTAAATATGTATTAAATTTAATAAACATATTTGAGATACTTTATATAAAGCTACGGGCTATTCATATATAAAGTTTTTGTTACTATTCTTGAACAATAACTCAATAAAGTTTGTTGAAACAAATGGAAACATTTCATTACCTTCTATTATTGGTAGCAAACTCTTGAATCAATTTTATAGAAAGAAAGGTTTGCTCGGAATTTTTTCCCAAACAAACAATTATATTTTTTTCTTTTGCTGCATAAAGAAGTTCTACCTACAAATAAATGTTATAATGTGTAATGGATGTGTGTATGTATGTGTAATATGTAAATAAAATATACATATACAAATATTGCAACACATACACACAAGCACATGCATGCAACACACACACACACACACACACACATACACACACACACACACACACACACACACACACACACACACACACACACACACA